ATAATGACACTTCATAAGGATTGCAACTCACAGCAAGTCGTAAACCAAGTAGTAGGATTCTAGTAGGATTGGGATTTCGGCCAATCTTAAAGTAAAATGATCAGTTTAACTGTCGAGTGTAATAAAAGTGCACTTTTACGTACAGTTTATTCAACACTGTACTGAGTGGCAGTTTATCATTTACTTAATTTGCTCAGTTCAAATATACAGAAAAAGAAACATCAATTATATGGATTAGTAGCTGATACCGTCTTATAGCCGACGCAGAGATTAGGTAACCGAGAATGAACTACTTCTATAAATACAAATAAGTGTTTATCAATCATTTCTCAATTTTTCAATATTGTGAAGTAGGTTGTAGGGAAGGTAATGTTGGTCATTTTAACAGAATAATTAATGATAGAGACCTGGCACTGTAAGATATACGAACTCGTCCATTCATTCCATTTTAGATAAGATCTTATGTTGATAAATCACACAGTGTTACACAGTAATATTAACTGATGACCTTTCGAGCATAAACTATTGCTAACAATTATATCAAGTTACAACTTTTTTGCTTCATCTTAAATTTTTAAGTTAAGCCTTTAAAACACTGGTACTACTCCTAACTGATATTTCATCATTTTTCTACAACTAAGGTTCAGCCAGCATGCTTGATAATAAGAAAACGTTTGACATGATGGAGAATTAAAAATTTTTAAGTGTGATTACGGGCATTAGTCTCTGAACCATAGGAAACCGGGGAGTACTGGACATCTGTTTCGTTCTAGTTTGCGACTCACCATCATTACGTGCCAAACGGGTTTCATGGACCATTGAATATTTTTTCAGTGGCTGAATGGTATGTAACCATGAGGTCCTGAGTTCGAAACCTGTTCGGTACGTTCTGCCTATGTACACGAAATATCAGGTTTTGAATGAAAACATACACCTCAGAAACGATTAAGAGAATAATAATTCCATCAGGCAAATAAGATAAAACCTTCACTTTGAGTTAAATTAAATTTCTGACAACAGTGAATACAGATACTTCCTAGTTGGTTTCATGGATAAGACTTTCCCGGAACTAAATTTGCAGTCACATTGTTAAAAAGACGAGTCCGTTATAATCGTTTCCAAGTGCAAATTTTGTAATGACACTTTTAGGTAAAACACTTTTCAATTGTATACATGTTCATAAAAATGTGTCAGATACTACTAATGGAAACAGTTTTGTTAGATTACGATTCTATTCGAATATTCGTCGTATAGGGTGTCATAAAAATCATACAAAACTTCTTGCATCACTTGCTTTGCACATTACCAATATCACCAATCATATGCTACCATTCCCATACTCACCAAGAAAGCTGACTTTCATTTCAGAGGGTAATTTTAGTGACCTAGTGCAATTAGTATTAAGGTTTGTTGTTTTTTACGCACAAGATGCTTCAGTGGTTTGTTCACTAAGTGTAACTATTTACTCATACCATATGGATTAGTGAAAACTTTTTAGAATTTCCACTAATCGGGTTTTAACCGATTATCTGAGTTTGATTTGTCATATCTTGTTGAAGGCCTAATGAGTTGATTTATTCACTTCAATAGCTCATGAACTTTAAATGTTTGGACAAATAATTATTTTTGTGACTTGTATATATATATATATATATATATATAAAGTTTGCCTTCCCTACTCAAAAGCATTGCTATCAAATTTAATGATCATAACTACCCTTGATATTTACGTATGTATTAAATTTTTATACTCAGTATTAGATTATATATGAGACTTTGTGAAATAATTTATGCAAATAGTGTTTCAACTGAAACAGCTTTGGGCACAAATGATCAACTGAGAGAACTCATGTCCGTTAGCATGCTTTTAACTATCCGAAATCACCATCACTCAGTCAGAGTATAAATTCGCAATTATTTTTCTGAACTAAAAATTACTTTTCTTGTTCCGAAGAGTTTGACGTCTTTCCTGTATTTTACCATAGAATTAGTACTACTGAACGTTTTTCTGTCGAATTAATAACAAATCTAAATTATGAAGAATTCTGTAGCACAACAAAACTGCCTGTACACATTTTATTCACCTTAATTCACTCCAACGCTATTCGACGGTGGCTTTAACTATTTTGATTTCTACTTTAAATTCGGTGTCGGTGATACCTGTTTGGAAGCCACTAGACAGAAATCCGGATGCAGACTGGAAGTGACGAGACATTAGATGGTACGATCTGATAAGTGTTATGTCAAATAGTTAAATGTGCACGTATTTTAAATTCAGAGGTGGATGATGTTTTCTGGTGGTTTTTCAGACCCTCTCAGGAAGTGCGCTATGCAGAACACGAATTAGCGTTGTAATAAAATTATTCAGGCGTCACTGGTTTGACACAAACTTGAAATTATGCATCCGCTCAACTTCACACCATTTTCGAAATTAATACAGTAGGATAAGGAGAACGCGTCAAAAAGACTGGCACATCAGGTGCCATCATGTAGGTTAGGATTGCTGCAAGCACATCTTTTTGAGCAGGCGTTTGGTACGTGTAACCCAAAAAGAACTTTTGAGTGGTGTGCAGTGTGATGTTTTTGATGGAAGCCACGACTAAGCTAACAGTTGACAGAGTCCTAGACAATGGAGGTAGAGGATGTCAACTGTCAATACGCAAAACATGAAAAAAAAGAAGCAGCCCAAGACAAACGCTGCAAAAACTGGGATATAAGTAGTCAGTGTCATTCATCGTAGCTGTATGATAAGAACTTCAATGAAGAGATAGAGAAATTGATAACCTTCATATCTGTAGGGTCTAGAAAGTTTTGTTTCACTCAATTCCCTTTTAAGTTAAAAAATGACATACTTTTTGAACAGAAAATCTTTCTGGACTCTACATATTGTCTGTGACGCATTTTCAGTTTTGCTTAGCTGTTTTTCATCTCCATACCCAGTTGTTGAAATACTAACATCTAATAGACAGACGCCTTTGTGTAAGTGAGATATTGTCATTCATTTTTATGAGTACTTATCACCTGACTACTTTAGCTTTGCTCAGATTCATTGGTTATTAAAGTCACAATGAATATTTAGGACGGAAGAGTTCAGTTTGTTGAATACAGCAAGAATATTTGCTCGTCATTATAATATTATGCAGTGGATAACAGATGAATAAATAAAATGTCGTAGAAATAGTGTCGTATTGATATAAGTATAAAACTTGGGCACTGTGGTAGAGCATAACTCCATTGTAGATAAGATTTTATCAAAATAAAATCTTATCCATAATGGAATAGTGTCGTACTTTTAACACAGTTAGTATATAGTAAGACTTTTTTCTCCCGTGAGTAATGGTTTATAGAATAAATATATTTAACATTATAGCCCTAGAGGATTAAAAAAAATTATACTGAATCAGAGAAAGATGATCGTTATATTAAATTCTAACTAGTTTACATGTTTCATTGCTAAGTGGCAAACTTCCCGTTATAGAGGCTTCGGTTTTATTAATCTGTTGATAATAAAATGTGTGATTGTCAAAGTAACTTGGGTGGTTTTGAAATGAAGTATGACTCACATAGACTAACATGAAAGCACACAGAAATGTTTTTAGGTCAAGTACAATAATAATACGCGGTGTTTTTGCCATCATTCGAGAAAAGTAAAAATTATAGTTGGACGTTATAAAAAAGTACGTTAATTGTTGAAAGTTATTGTTTATTTCGACAACGTGTTATCTAATATATCTTGTTACCTTGTAATGAATGTAATAACAATTTTATTTTCAAGTATTGGTTTTGTAGGGATTTTGTTTGATTGCATGGAGGATTTAATTATGAGCTGACATCAGTTAGAGAACCACTGGGAAACCTGGGAGTACTGGATAGCTGTTTCGTCCTAGTTCAGGACTCCTCAGTTGCACGTCTCCATCGGGGTTCGAACCCAGGACCTTCTAGTTACAAGGCAAGGTCGGGTCGGGTCCCAGTGGCTCAACTGTCTACGACCTCGCCTTGTAACCAGAAGGTCTTGGGGTCGAACCCCGATGGGTGCGTACTACTGAGGAGTCCCAAACTAGGACGAAACGGCTGTCCAGTACTCCTAGGTTTTCCGGTGGTTCTCTAACTGATGTCAGCTCATGATTAAATCCTCCATGCAATCAAACAATTTTATTAGAAAATAAAGTATGTAATATGCAACACCTGTTGGAGAATATAGTTAACTTACACCTTTTATATAATACTCTTAATGAAGTTCAACTCATTGTTGAGTTTTTTGCAGATAATTTCAACGTCTAGCAACTGCAGTGATCGACATTAAAAGTCGGAACTTAAGCTTGTGTTTCAACGACGAAACTCATTCAGGAAATCACTCCAAGCGGAATATAAATTTCATTCCAGTGTGGTGGAATTAGTATACTGACGACTTTAAAGCGTTTATATGGTGATCAGTATTCAAAGTCTATTTCCAATACTTTAGACTTATCAAAAAGCCTGAATGGTAAAAACTACGAAATATGGTACTGAGTTGTTGAGTTCCGTTAGGAATAATATCGACTATTAGGAATGGTAGAGCTCGTGTAACCATACTTTTAAATAATCCTAAATTTAGTTTACTTTCTGTTAGTTACTTCCAGTTTCTGTTTTCAGTGGCCTGCCTGTTTAAAGAATTATAAAAAGTGTGTTTCAAGCCTTACTTCTTCCTAATATAATAGTGCAGAGAATACCTGGTGGGAGGTCATCAATATACGACTCTAACCCTAACACCCCAGAGTGATGTTATTATTGGCACTAATATTTTTATATTATAAAATGGACATCCTTATACCAAGGGGTAAATCTGTCCATGAAATGTTTAACAGGACCAGAGCATCTGATGAATTATGGAAATCATCTGATTGTAGCACAACTTAATTTCAATGAACTCTTCAATGTACTACTTATGTATTTCTCTACCAGCTTATTTTATGTGGCAGAAGATTACTCACATGAAAGGTATAAGAATAATTCTAACTTACTTATCAAAGGGAAAATCACGAAAATTGAATGTGAGTTACTTTAAATTCCGGAAATGTATATTTTATAATGTTGATTGTAGCTTACAATAGGTGCAGTAACGTCTTTAATTGCAAAGAAATTCGTAGAATTTGGAAAACGTCACCACTGTTTCGGTCAACAAGCACACATTTGGTAATGTGTGGTGAGGGCTGCTGTTGAAGTATTCCCGATGAATATTTCTGTTTAGACCCAGGTGTACGTATGTGCAAAGATATGCATATATACACAAAAATAAATGAATATTTAAATATTTTTGTGAAGCAATCTGAAACTGTGTATTTAGCCGCATTAGCCGGTTGCTGTCACCTGGATATAAGTTTGTAGGATATTGTTTTAATTTAGCGTGCAGATTTGATGGTGTCAGTCTCTAGTATATATTCCTGTTGTGAACAGTTGATCTATTTCTGTACATTCCATACTTCAACTGAACTATATGTTCACATATTAATATCTGTTTTTGCGTATTTATACTTCCTTTCCTCTAATCTACTCATGTGTTTATCAAAGTTATTGGAAATTTGTATTTCTTTACAATGATTGGATAATTTCAGGATTTGAAAAAAAAATTTCATTTGAGATTATAACAGATAAAGAGAAATTGATGTTATTACTGGAAAAAAATAATAATATTAGCTACTTGAAAAACGAATGAATTAACCAGTATTGTGATGAATGCATGTTCTGATGGAAGACGATACGAAAATCCCTAAGAATAAGAGTTCACTTTTGTTAACACGTATATCCGATTTTCCGCTAGATAAAATACATGTGATTAAGGAATATTATCATTATTTATTATTTATCTTTCGAAAATAACTTGCATCTTTAAACTGGATTTCATTTAAAACAATTTTCTATGTATTCAAATAATCATCAACCCTAGGAATCTGGTGATAATTTAGTTGGTTGTTCGCAGGTGAAACATCTCTAGTAGCATTCGATTAGAACGAATATCAATTGATATGACGTTCACTGCAGAACTATTTTGTCTACCTGGATTGAACTTATTAAAGAAGGAAGGAGAAGAGTTTTGCTTGGAAATATGATGTTGTCATGATGTGAACTTAGAAAAACATTATGAAACATTAGTATTTAATTGTTGGATGGTGACTGCCAGTGGAATCAAGGATGTGCATTTCGTCCTATTTGGGACTCGTCATCTGGATTTACCTGCATTTCTCAGTGAGTGATGATGTTCCCACCGAGGCTCGAACCCAGTAACCATAGTTTCAAACACCAAAGCGTTATCCACTAGACGACTTGGGTTACGAGAGCCACCTCTTGTGCAACGGGTCATATTAATTATTGAATTGAATTTTTGATTTTCGCGTCGATTGATTGGACCGAAGTGCTCGGTTTCAGGTTGACATGTCGGCTTGTTGTGCAGATGCAGATTATGAAACATTTGTTGAATGTATGCAAAAGAATTAAATCAAGTATGAACAGGGAAGGCATATGCACTACTGAAAGTTGCAAATTACGATGAAACAGCTGATATGTACTATATCTTTTTTGACATTTCATTCAGTTGATTTAAGTTAGTGACAAAAACGATCACATTCATGCTCACAGAAGTCTTAAAATGATATGGACTGTTAAAATCGCCGTATAAACGTTAAATGTAATAGCACAAACGTAAAATCAGCACCAAAGAGAAATCTGCTTCATCAAATTTAGTTAACGGTAAACAGCTTGTGTTTCCACAGCAGCATAAACAAAAGAATGTCCAATCAATCAACGGGAAAATCAAGAATTCAATTCAATAAAAGAATGTGAATAAGTACATTTAAGTGAAAAAGATTTCTAAATCGGTTTCAGGTTTATGAGGGAGTATCTTGCCTTTTCGATTCTGACTTTAACGCCTTCATCTGTGGTTGAAACCGTGATTCCTAGATAAGTGAAGGAAGTCGCCTCCTGCAAGTTTCTCGCGTTGACGGTGATTGGTGCTGGTTATTGCTGTTGGTTATCTTCATCACCTCCGTCTTCTCTATGTTCATCTGCAGTCATGTCTTCTCTGGTTGCTTCTTCAACCAGTTTGTTGGTTTTCGTCTGTTTCTAAGCTTTCGAGTTTGTGTGGCATAGACATAAATCATCCACGACCGAAATCCACATCTTCTGGGGTCTTCTTATCGGTCAGTCCAAATAATTCCTGTCGTCTCACTCCCCATGCACAGTCTGCTAAATATTCTAGTCCGCCACATTCAAGAACATCATCGGTGATAATAGCCAGCATTTTTTGCTCCTGTACTCACTTCAACAGAAGGCTTCGCTGAGTTTTCCGTTGTGGATCACCTGACACGTTGCATCGTCATAGAACTGTAGAATGAGGTGGATACAGATTTGAGCACTGCACATCATAGTGTTGAAATAGTTCCCAAATTATTTCTCCATCACCGTTTTCTGTCGACGGCCTTTTTGAAGTCGATGGAGTTAAGGTACAGGTTTGATGAGTAGAGTTGCCATTTGATTAGCACATGATTTGCCTCTCATGAATCCAGTTTTTTCTGGCTGGCGGAATTCTACATCCGGTGCATCTTTTAAGTGGACAACCTCTTCAGAAGTGTTCCACAGAATAACAATAATTTTCTTCAAGATGATGCGATTTAGTATTTTACTTAGTGTGGACAAGAGCATTATACCACGCCAGGGCCTAATTCGCTCTTCTTTGTCAGCTTGACGAGGTAGCCATTCTTCCGACCGATAGGCCCCTTTCCTTCTTTCCAAACCTTTTGCAATAATGGCATAAGAGCATCTGTTGCTGTCTCTCGGTTCGTTTTCAGTGTTTCAAGTGAAATCCGTCTTGTCCTGCTGCCTTCCTAGACTTCAGTAGCCTGATATTACTCAGGATTTCTGCTTTCGTCGCGAGATTGTTGTCTACTGGCAGGCAGCTCTGTGCGTGCTGTTGGTGGTGTTGTATTTATGGGCGAGTTGTAGGTGATGGTGGATACAGCTTATTTATTTATTTATTGATTTGTCGTTCCTCCTCGGTAATCGAATTCCCTTGAACATCTTTTATTGGTTTCATCATCTGGGTTGATGTTTTCGTGGAAAGCGAGCAGCCTGGTTATTTGATATAATGTCCTGAGGTCTTTTTTACCTGTAGCCTGCCAGTTCTGCTTCAGTTGCCAGACAGTGTGTTGTACAACTGTCTTGTTTCTTTCCTAGCACTCGCCTTCAGTACAGTATACATTAGAACTCAGCTTCTCCTTCCGTTGGGCATCTTTGCATTGAGTAACCTTCCTTTTCACCATCCTTCCCTCCTCGATTAGCTTCCAGGTATCCCTTGAGAGCCATTCCTTATATTGTCTCTTCCTTCTTTGGACACGTTTCCCTGAACATCACCTTTCACAGAAGTAGTTCCAATGTTCATCTACACGGGTTTCCCTGATGATGCTAGGTAGTATCTCCCACTTTGTTCTGATCTGATCAGTAGTGAAGGCATTCCTTGTAGTTTTGTCCTTCAGTTTCTGGATGATGAACTTGGATTACAGTGGTCTGTCTCCTGTTGTTCTGAGAGATTTCAGCTTCGCCTTTTAAGTTCCTTGAAAAAGATGATGGTGTGAGTGAGCCCATTTCTGTTCACCTTGTCGACTTTGTGTCCAGCAGGCTAGCTGCATCTCCGCTTCCCTGAGCAACATTGAGAAGAAATCTATCCGGTTTGTGGTATGTCCATCGGGCGAAGCGCATGTTGCTTTGTGTATATCCTTGTATAAGCTGCCTCCGATCACCAAATCATTGAAAGCTCAGAATTCCGCGAAGAGTTCTCCATTCTCATTCATTACATCCGGAGACTTTGAACCCATGGTATGTTCTCTTCCTATAATATCTGCTGCCAGTTCAGCTGACATTCATGACGTTTTCGTGGTAGATGGTTTTTTTTCTCCACGTTCCCCAGTGTAACACAGGGCTTCAAGCCGGTGGCTTGAAGTTTCTGTAGCAGTGTTTATTTTATAGGATGGGGTTGCTAGACTCATGCCCAACCTTTCCTCTTTACCAGCATTATTTCTGGCTTAGCGACGTAAAAAAGTGCGTCGACCGGGGACCGAATCTCGGACCATGTGCATGGTCGGCGAGCGTCCTAACCGCTATGCCATCGACGCACTTCGTGCTAGAATGGCACTCGTCAATTAGGCATGCATACAACCCTGAAGGAAGTCATGTCCCCTCTGATAATTTAACCCGCGTCACCTAGTGTTGCAGTCAGAGATGATACTACTGAGGTATTTAGGATCATGAATTACCTCCTGTAGGACGTCTTGTAAACTACTTCTAACCGACTAATATCAACACTTATGATTCGATTGATGAGTATTCCAATATCTCGTTATATCCAAAAATTAAATGTTATTTAAGGGGGATAAAGCGGCCTAATGTTCCACTTGTCAAATTAAATATCCAGTTTTTGGCAGAATTAAGATGTTACTGATTATAATAAAGTTTTTTGTATTTCCCAATCAGTGAAAACAAAACGATATTGTTTTTACTGACGTTTCGCTATTTAATGCTAATGGCTTTCTCAAAGAATTACGGACATTTTAGTATATCCATATTCAGGAAGAAAACCGACTCCAATAAATATTACACTTCTAATCATCACACCCCATCAGCGCAAAAATTTCAGTTGTTTCAAGTCTTCTTAGACGAGCCCACTCTCTGATAACGGATGAGCAAGAAAAAGAAGAAGGAATATCAAACATTACTGAAACTCTCAAACAAAACAACTACCCAAGGAACTTCATCAACAAAATCAACACAGACGTTAAGTATGGCAGAAAACGCATTCCGGAAACATGGACACCAACAGTCGTCATTCCATATAGAGCAGAGACGTCAGACGATATCAGAAGAGTACTCTATCAGCTCGACATAAGAGTTTTCTTCAAAACATCAGACACACTTCAAAGCAACCTTGTCCATATAAAAGACCGAATCCCGAAAGATTCTCTATCTAATTGTGTCTATAAAATAAAATGCTTGCTTGGAGTGGGATGTGATCTACATCGGACAAACATCTCGAGAAATCGGAATCAGAAGAAGTGAACACCGTAGAGCATCTCTTCGACCACCAAGAAATCCAATTGAACTAGAAAAACTTGAAAAATCATCAACCATAGGTCTACATGCTATAGAATCAGGCCACGAAATCGATTTTGACAATATTGAAATAATCCAGAAAAACTTCAGAAACCGCAAAGAACGTCAAATATCAGAAGCACTTCACATCAAGTGAAATCCAAATTGTCTGAATAGAAATGATGGATTAAAACAGACATATTTATGGACATCTGGGAAAATAGTGCCCTCAATACATTTAACCCTACTCCGAAAATATGGTGGAGATATGTGGATGACACTTTCACAGTGTTAAAAACAGAACACATCTCTAGCTTCTTGACACATATAAACTCACAAGTTGAGGGAATAAAATTCACATTGAAT